GTTCTATCTGCATAGAGTAGGTGTTTGACTTGTTTTAACCTGTTGGGCTTTTGGGTTTTTTTTTTTCACTATTTAAAAGTAAAATTTACTAAGAAGAAAGGTGGGTTCATGCTAAGGGGGGGGGGTTAGTGTTGGTTTGGCTTCTTTTATAGTCAGTCTTTCTGAACATTGAGATAATGCTGAAACTGGAGCTTTTAATTCTAAAATCCTTATTAAAAGCCTCTTATTGAACCCAAACCAAAGTATTCTTATTGCTTCTTTTCTAAAAATTCAGGAAAAAAATAGCACCAGTTCAAACTTTCCATACATGAGGGAGGAATATTTGCCTGCCTTGTAATAACATGACTCAGTGCTTATTTTTAAAACTGGATTATAAAAATTGGATAGCATCACAGTAAGGAGTGAGCCACTTTTTATGGGTACCCTATGGTTTTATAGTTCTTTAAAACTTATTTTATATTTCTTCCTTTTGAGAAAATACCTACATGCTACAAGCCACCATATGCACAGACTACACAGTGAGTTGGGTCGGCTCTCCCATAGCCTTTGAGGTGTATTACAAGAGTCCAGCCATTATCATTCTCCTGAGTTATTTTGAAATGGGTTTTTTTTTTTTTTTTTTGTACATTTTGGCTGCAGTATTGGTGGTAGAATATACTATAATATGGATCATCTCTCTCTACTTCTGTATTTATTTATTTATTACTAGACCTCAACCACAGTCTTCTTTTTCCCCTTCCACCTTTCTTTGCCTGTAGGATGTACTGTATGTAGTCATGCACTTTGTATTAATATATTAGAAATCTACAGATCTGTTTTGTACTTTTTATACTGTTGGATACTTATAATCAAAACTTTTACTAGGTTATTGAATAAATTTAGTCTTATTAGAAAATAAAAGGAGATGTTTTGTGGCTTTGTGTTAAAGGTCTTTGGTCAGAATAATGTTTTTGTTCTGCACAGGTATTCCATTTAAGTTTATAGTATGGTAACAAAGACATGAGGCAGGAAAATTCTCTTTATTCCCACCTACCTCTACTCCTACCTCTTATTATTACCCATTTGAGCAATACAGTTTAGAGGGGTTTGTGTGTGTGTTTTTTGTTTTTTTGGAGACGGGGTGACACAGAGTTGCTTCTGGCTAGCCTCAATGTTACCTTCAACATACTTTTTCCTTAATACCCGCCCGCCCCCCCCAGCTTCTTTACAGAATTATGAGGAATCCTAAGAAGTATAATCCACATCAATTCTCAGATTGTTTTGTTTTCTGCGGAAGATTGATTTTATAGGCCAAACTTTTTATAGTATTGTTGAAGTTTAATGTGTGGATGTGTGTAGGGATTGAACCTAGGGCCTCCCTCATACATGCTAGACAAGCACTCTACCAAATAGTAGAAAGGTGACAGTATCTGTATTATCAATTGCTGTATAACAATTACCACAAACTTAGCGACTTAAAGCAAAATTTGTGCTAGGTGCTATCACATCTGCATGTAATTCCAGCAACTCAGGAGGTTGAGGCAGGAAGAGTGTAAGTTTAAGGATAGCCTCAGAAGGTCCCTGGTAATGTTAAAACTGAACACCTCCCACCCCTTCCCAATCTCTGATGGTGACCCCCCTGCCCCCGCATACTGGAGGTTGAACCCAGATGCTCTACTGCTAAGTGACACCCCAGTTCTTTTTTTAAATTTTGAGTCAGGGTCTTGCTAAATTGCCCACTCTAGCTTCTGCATCAGCTTTCCCAGAAATTGGGATTACAGGTGAGCACAGGGCTGTGCCGTTTTTTTTTTTAAGTATCAAGTGCATTCTTGACTTTTAGCTACTTCTAAACTATTCCATGCTGTTCATACTGCCCTTGCTACCTCAAAGTTTACTGGTGGCTTCATGGGAAATTCCAAAGCCCTCATCTTATTTTTTCAGGCTTTTCACAGCAATTGATGTTATCAGTGGTTACCCTGTTGAAATAATAATAATAATTATTGCAGTGCTGGGGATTGAACCCAGGACTTTCATCTTGTTTTATCTCCAGCCTTTTTGAGATATTCTTGACAGATAACACTGGCTTCCAGGTTATCTCTTAATTCAGATACTTGTTGGTCCAGGCTTTACCTTCAGCTTTCTCAGACCATCTCCATTCTCACGGTCCTAAATGTCATGTAAAATATGTTGGAATCTCTCAAACTGTCTGTAGAGCTTTATATCACTTAGGTTGCTGGCAGGAAGTTGATGGCTTATTGAAATTGAATAATTGGAGGAGAGTTTAATAAAGGGACTTTATGTGTACAAGGTGTACAGGTACTTCAAGGGAGAGTATAGTTCTCAGGACCTGTAACTTTGGTGCTAGTAATAGGATGCTGTTACTACTACTGCTGGTCTCATGGTTGAGGGAGGAAGTGGTCAATGGAAACAGGAGATAAACAGACCATGTAAAAAGGGCAAGGGTTTGGAAGAAACAGCAGGAATAAACATTATCACTCTCCATCATTATTCCAATGTATGGAAGCACATACATTATTCAATAATGTATGTGCTTCCATACATTATTCCCCCTGACCCATTTCCACATCATATAACTAAGCAATATCTACTTGTCTTTAAGGTTTAACTCAGGCCCCACTTAGATAAGCCTTCTAAAACAAAACATTCTCTCCAATACGCATACATGGGATTATATGCTAAATGGGTTCCATGAAAGCCTGAACCATATTTTGTCACCATTATAGCATCAATGCATTTAATTAAAAAATATTTTTATTCAAAAGTGGGGATTGAACCCAGGGCCTGCCTCATGCATGCTAGGCAGTTGGTCTGCCATTGAGCTATGTCCCTAACTTTTTAAAAATTAATTTATTGAATACTGGGATTGAACCCATTAGTGTTTTATCACTGAGCCTTTTTATCACCTAGCCCTTTTAATTTTTAAAATTTTTAGACAGGGTCTCATTTAAATTGCCGAGTCACGGTCTTTCCTGCCCTTGAACTTGTGATCCTCCTGCTTCAGACTCCTAGATTGCTTGGATTACAGTGTATGCCACTGTGCGTGTGTTTTTCCCTTTTGGAAATGAATAAGTCTGCAGTGAAAACTGTGGCAGTTTTAAAACAGACTTTTACTAATTAAGCTCCTATATCCCAATACCCTACTAAGTGTTCTAAACAGTCATTTGATACTTGAGAAATCATGGGGCTAGAAACAATAAGTCCTTTTAATATCACCAGGGCATAGATGAACAAATGATGGAATTAGAAGACTTGGATTGAAATCTTGGTGTTTCTTCTTAATTGACTATGATCTCTGATAAATTTTATCTATGTTCATTTCCTCTTCTATAAGCTGTAGAAAATAATCTGAAACAGTTGTAGTTAAGAGCAAAAGAGAATGCATCCTAGTGGCCCTAGCCTATACATAATAGGTGCACAGTGGTAAGTTTGTTTCATCATTTGTTCGTTCAGACTTTAGTACTGAAGTCTTAATTGAATATGCTTGGAATGAAAATTCCTTATGATTATAGTGAACCCAAATTCACATCAAGATCCCCACTACCATCATCATCACCACAAAACAAGTCATAAAGCTTTATTAGGTTTCAGGGCTTGGGAACATATATTCCTAAGATTATTATACTTGGGAAGCACATGAATCCCAGAATTGGGAATTGTATAGAGAGCATAAGTGATGCCAGGTTTGATCTCACGAAAGTTCTGAAAACAAGAAGTGACCATGTTAGGCCCTCACGATGATTTTTCCGGGGTAAAATTTGATTCCTATAGGGCTGGGGCCGTAGCTCAGTGGTAGAGCACTTGCCTAGGCATTGAGTTTAATCCTCAGCACCACATAAACAAAATAAAGGCATTCTGTCCATCTATAATTATAAAAAATAATAATAAAAAATAAAATTGACTCCTATAACAACACTGTGGAACCAATTCATAAAACATGCTAAAATAGTAAAACATCTCTTCCGCCTCAAGGGCTAAAGCTCCAACCTCAGTTTCTTCTTCTAGCAGAAAGTCCTGAAACAGCTGCAAGGGAGCACCCACCATTCACATTATACAGAATGGCTCC